CTCTTTACTTTCTTGCATTATTCCCCAAATGCATTCATATCACTTAACACTTTCCTCTAGATCACAATTATTCAGAATGTTGCAGTTTTTCTCAGAAGTGATTCCTATTTATTTCAGTATCAACATTCCCTGAAGCATAACATGCAGCTATTCTCAAGCTACAGATTTCTGCTTTCATATGTACCCACGACAACCTTGAGGACAGACCTTCTCAATTTGAGAACTAAATTTTAAACAGGTGCTCCCAGCACGCCAAAACATATCATGTACCTTCTAGGTGGTGAGTAGTTTAAAATTAAAAAGATAGCAATAGCAATAGCACTTAGACTTATATACCGCTCCATAGTGCTTTACAGCCCCTCTCTAAGCTTTTTACAGAGTCAGCCTTTTGTCCCCAACAATCTGGGTCCTTATTTAATGACCTCGGACAGATAGAAGGCTGAGTCAACCTTGAGCTGGTCAGGATCTGCATTCTAACCACTGCACCACTTTGGCTCTGATGCTTTGTTGTAGGACTGAGCATGCATGGTGGCGTTCCCTTTAGGTCTTTTCCCAGGCTTGCACAGAAAAAAACAACATTTTTTTTCTTAAAACTTAAGGACCCATATGCATTGCATCAGTACCTGCTCTCAAATGTCTTGTTGCACATGGGGGGTGTCCTCTCAAAATATATAATATTTTTCTGGAATACTTGCTTAATGACCAAAGCTAGCAAGGTGCTGCTACTTGCAGAAATAAGTCTATTAAAATCAACCAATTTCTTTTCTCATAGATTGCTGTCAAGAAAATGTTTTTTATTCTGTACTTCAGCACCAGATATTTCTTTTGCTAATTGCAAGTTGTTATATTTACTAGCCATGAAATGCATTTTAGCTCTGCTCCCGTAAAGACGTAATCTCAAAGTGAAATAAATGATTGTCACTTTCCATTGAGGTGCTGGGCAAATCCCACCAGTGCTCACAATTGTAGATCAGGAAGCAAATGCAAGCAATCCTTGACTTACAACAGTTTCATTTAGTGATTGTTAGAAGTTACAATGGCATTAAAAAATGACTTATGACCGTTTTTCACATGACCATTGCAGCATCCCCGTGGTCACGTGATGAAAATTCAGATGCTTGGCAACTGATTCATGCTTATGACAATTGCAGTGTCCTGGTGTCATGTGGT